TAAAATAAATCACAAATTCAAACTTTAGTTACTTATTAATTATTCATGTACATAAAGATATTTAATAAAATTAATTTGTGTGATAACTTATTAGTCTAAAAAAAGTGGTATATTGGGTATAAGATTTCTTCGAAGTGTACTTTCGCGATAAAATTTTATAATTTCTTTTATTGTGCCAATAGTATTACGAATAACCATAAATTTGTTTAGATCGTTAATTACTAAATTTAATCGGTGACTAGCACAATGGAAATATAAAGCTTTATTATATCGGTTACGAATTAATTTAGCAACGCCACCTACTTTGCCAGCCATTGTAGCACAACCATCATAACCTTGTCCATAAAATTTACTTAAATTAAGGCTGTTCCACCAGGCTCCTGCTTGGGCGGTTGGCCTAGGATGGCAAATATAATAACACCCAGAGTATTTTGTTTTACCTTACGTATTAAGAGAGGGCAATTAGACAACTTTTAAGAATTACACACAATTTAGGTTGACGCACCGTCGTGCTACAATATATATATTTTATACTAAACAGAGGTGTAACGTATTACATAATATAATAATACTAATAATAAATTTAGGGCGCCCAAATAATATAAAAAAAAAAAGGAAATAATAATAATAGTAATAATAACAACCAATTCTTCCAATACAAATAATAATAATAAAATATAATAATAATATGTCGCTGACCTGGTCCAAGGCAGTATGATCGTTGGAATAAGTGTGCTGGAACACTGATATTGTTAATAACAATTATGACGCCGGCTCGTAACCTCAGGGTCCACGTGTATATAATATATATAGATGATAGATATGTGTATATAATATTAATTTCGACACGTACAAGATGCGGAGTCGCTTCAACACGCGGCAAATGTGACGACGGCACAACACGGCACACAAGGCCAGCACAAAAACCAAAAGGCACAAGTGCTACGGGCATACAAAATGGCCTTATATTAGCCACGCACACGCGTAAGAACAAAAGCGAGCGACGTCCCGGAGACGGTCGCACGAGAGAGTGAGTGTACGGTCGTATTGACGGACAGCAGTGGTCAGGGAACGCCGATGCCACATTAGGCAAGAGGGGAGGAGGGCGACGATAAAGTCGCCGAGCTTATCGCAAGGGAAAAAATATCATAATATATCTCGAACAAAGGCCACTGTCTTCCATAAATGATAAAATTTTAGTAGCAACTGATTCTGCGTCTAATTTATCTAATGGTAAAAAGCCAAGGAATTCTTCTCGAATCTTTATAGGACTTGACTGCTTGTCTAAAAATCTAATTACAATTGTTAGCTGCTCAACACCAGAAATATCTGCCGATTCGTCAGAAATAATGGAAAACGCATTCGCGGCATTAGCTTCGCACACTATTTCTTCTTTTAATATCTTTCCACATAATGTGATTAATTCATTTTGAGTTCTATGGGACGAATATTTAGCATTTCCCACGTTAGTTAAAAAATGATCTTTCAATATCTCATCGCCAGATTCAATACGAAAATTCAAAAGATCGTGAAAAACACCAGAATCTGATTTTTTCCCTCGTAAGGGAAGGTCGTGAGTTCCACAAAACAAAATAGTTGATATAATAGGTTTTAATTTTAGCCTGTTAGTTTCTATTTCTTTATGCAATCCAGAATTTACTTGTTCAATAACACTATTTTTTTTACCTTTCGGCTTTCATAACATCCATAAAATCTTTCGCTCTTGACATTGATTCAGTGTGCCAATTTGAAGACAAGTGTATTTTAGAAGATGCATGAAAATCCTTATACTTGGTAAACGGTTTTACTATAAATCCACCTTGTACGCCTCTATGAATTGATGGCTTGAACAACACACATATTCTACAAAAAGCTCCTTTCACACCCTCAAGAGCTGAATATGTCAACCATGAACCGTTTTCGTGCAACTATTGATGTCTAAATGCTCGAGTTCTTCCTAATTTTAAATCACTCTTAAAGTCATAAGTAGTATTCGGTACCCAAGGATTACGTAAAAGTTCATGTTTTAAACAATCGTCAATATTTTCGACGTTCAAATAATTTCCAATATCTTTTTCATTGGTTAAGATGACATGACCGTCGTTATTTTTTGTATTCACGGTAACCGAAGCACTTTCAACTACACACGATTCCGACGACTCTATATTGACTGTATTATTTATTTTAATTGAATTAGAGCCAGTAGAGGCTTCACTAAGAGAATCACACAGTTTGGGTTTTTTAAAAAAATTTCTGATGTCCATAACAGTATAAACAATAAAACAATATATTAAATATACTAAATACAGTACGTACGTAATTTAACGTGGTCCGTGTTTCACCGTAGACGTTGATAAAATGACAACTGATTTCATTTCACAATTATTATAATTCCCAATGTGATATTGTACATTCGGTTTATTTTTAGTTATCTCAGTTATCTAACTCGTTACCTATCTCTACGTTGTGTGCGTATATGTGCGTCAGTCGTCATAAGTGGTTCGCGACCCACAGTTTGAGAAACGCTGCACTAGGCGATTAATATAAATTCCCAGAATTTAAACGTATTTAATGTATTACACTAATATGCGTTATTTTGTACGTCTTAAGAGGACGTCGTACCCGCATATGTTGTCTCCGTCTTACAAATGCGTAACATGGCAAATAGTACTCTCAGAAGATCACGTTTAGCTCCTTCAGTTTGAAAATTAGAATGAATTGACCTCTTTTGAAATTTAAAAGTGAGATTATTATCTAGGGCATCTCATAGGCTTTTTATTATATTTTAATTTTAAAGCAAGTTATGAGTATTTTAAAATTGTAAATTGCTTGCACGTCTTAAAACACACATAACTCGCTTTAAAATTAAAATATAATTAAAAGCCTATGAGATGCCCTAGATAATAATTTCACTTTTAAATTTCAAAAGAGGTCAATTCATTCTAATTTTCAAACTGAAGGAGCTAAACGTGATCTTCTGAGAGTACTATTTGCCATGTTACGCATTTGTAAGACGGAGACAACATATGCGGGTACAACGTCCTCTTAAAGTATGTTCGGGCCGGGAGCATCTAATTATAAGTATGCGCGCCCCGGTTACCAAAATATCAATACGCTATTATACAGTCACACACCGACCGACCTGTGTTTGCGTGTATATGTGTATAGCACTCAACAGGAAGTGGACAGGTTCGCCGAGCAAATCCTGTGAGTGCTAGTGTGTGGGTGGTGTGTGTATGTGTGTGTATATATGTATGTGTGTAAACTAAAACTAGGAGACTCAGGTAACTCAATATAAATAAATGGTAATACTTGTTACGGTAATAGGATATATAATAATGATAAATAAGATACTAATAGTAATTACGGCCCCTTTGGCCCAACATGTAAAAATATAATAATATAAGGTAGCTGTTAGAGCTACTACAAAAATATAATAATAATAAATAATAAAAAGATAGCTATTAGAGCCACAATATAAAAAATAATGATAAATAGCCCTTCTGGCTCAATGAATGTAAATATATAATAAATAAATAATAATAATAATAGTAATTAGCCCTTTTGGCTCAATGAATGTAAATATATAATAAATAAATAATAGTAAAAACTCACAGTTTGTCGGCGCACTGCTGGCCAGCTGCTACCTAGCTATATAATAATAATTTCACACACAGATGCTAATACGAAAAAACAATAAGAACATTAATGATAATACAAGTGGCGATTTGCGCACACAATATGTATGTAAAAAAATACGAGTATAGAGTATAGACGTATAGTATAAGTAACAAATAAATAATAATTAATAAGTAAAGCGGCGATTCGCGCACGCAGTAAATAGAGTAATAATTAAAGGCTGCGAATCACGCACACAATATATAATAAAAAATATAACTTCGATTTTCACAACTGAAAAATAATTTAAGAAAAAATCGGACGTTGGTCCTTGCGTTACGACGTATGACAAAAGACAAGTTTTTGCGGCGGCCGCGTTAATCTGCGCGCACCGGCGAGCCGGCGGCAGCAGATAACGCGCCGATAATTAATTTAAATAATATTATATAATTCACCAAACACAATATAATTAAAACAAAAATAAATATAAAAATAACAGCTAGCGTAATATGAGTGTTTTGTGTGTGTGTGTGGATCGGTGGCGGTGACCGTGAATTTGTAATTATTTTTATTGATATTGTTAACAAAGTATATTGTTATTACAATCATCAACCCCACACACTAAAGTAAAAATATCGATGAAATGTTTATAAATCAAAATAAAAGTTAAAATGTTCAACATTCTATTTGAATTCCAGGGGGGGGGGGGGCAGATGCCCCGTCTTGCCCACCATCCGGGCACCCATGACTACTACGGTTATTATTGTATGTCTAAATTATCATATGACGTACCAAATTATTGTAACTAAATTATTGTGTCGGGTCGTTATAAATACAGTCGATTACAGCACCAAAGTGTTATCATTTTTATTTTATTAGTGTTATCACATTGTAACATAAGTGAGAATATACATGATTTACAAATTTTTCTGGTCGTCCGTGTAAAAATTAAGGTATTTTATTTGATACTAGCACCGGTGAAACTCGCTGTAAGTGAATACCCTAGGTCGGTAAAACTCGCTGTATGTGAATACCCTAGGTAGCTGAATATCGTTTGAAGTGAATTTCCTAGGTCGGAGACAGGACTTAAGAATACAGCAGTTAGAAAAGTCTAGTAGGCAAAACCAGTGATAACGACGTTTGACATGTTGGTACCTCTGATTTGGTGGCTCTACACTTTGGCGGTGTCGTTTTAAACGCGTAAATAATAAAAGTCTAATTCGAGCGTCTAGTGGTCGGTCATTTCATTAAATTCACAAGTGTAATACACCTTGTCCCGTAGCTTGCCCTGTGCTTTTGTGCATGGAAAATAAATAAATACATTCCGAAATGGTAATTAAATGTCTAGCTATCAGTCATTACCCGGTGCTTGTCGTTACTCGACTGGGCAATCCGCGTAGCTTGCCCTGTGCTTTTGTGCATGGAAAATAAATAAATACATTCCGAAAAATTAATTAAGTGTATAGTTATCAGTCATCGTCCAGTGAATATCGATTCCTGACAGGGCAATCCGCCTGTGGCGGATTGTCATACCTCCTGACGTCGAAGGCGTTGTGCTGTTTAGTACGCAAAAAAGTTTAAGTCGAATCGAGCGCTCGATTTTTCAAGCGATCACCACTGAAAATCCAATTAAACGCGTTTGAACCTCCCAGGTAGGCGACGTGGGCGTAAAGGAGAGATGTTAAACGCATTATGGAAAACGCATGTCAAACGTTAGCTAGTTGAAAATCAAAAAAACTATACATAATTAATATTTTTTTTCATATTTTATAGATGGTTAGATATCGAAAAGAAATAATATGCGCTTTCTGTGATGACAAAATATTTAAAAATCAAAAGAAAAAAAATTTGCTACTGTTTTTCCCCTGTATCTTTCAAATGTAAGCGACTGAAAGGCTAAACATATAAAATAGTGAATTCACCGTCAAAAAACCGAGTGAAACAACTGTATCGTCATCAATAGAATGTTCTCAGGCTATAATATAAATTGCATATCACATAATATGTACATTTGAATTGTGCATACTGTTAGCAATAACTATAATTGGTTTAATTGAATACTATTGTGTAATTTAACGTTCGTGTAAAGTATATTATAATATAATATATTTTGTCATCATCAATCAAGCAGTATAAAATGTAATGTGTGAGATCAAAAATCGTTTTTAAAATTTGAAAAATATTATATGAGTAGTAATGTCATATCAAAACGAAAATAGCAATTAATAATGATCGAATTAAATGAAAAAAAAAATGCAAAAAATCCCGTACGTGTAGTTTCTTATGGGGCCGCCCGGAATGCGCCGGACCGGGATTCGAACCTGCCTACCTAACGTTGGGGGACCTATCCTAACACCTATCGACTACCGTTTGAGTTGAAAACCGAAACCAAATCTCGAGCACTTAAACCGTTTTAGAGATGCGACGAATACTACATTATACGTAGTTTGACCCGTACAATTTTTACGATTCACGTGTCACGAAACCGTAAATCGCATGTTTATTGTCGTTTAGAACGTTTCCGACGTATTCGTTTACATTTTTTAATCGTATACGTCTCAAAGACGTACCGAGTTTATTATCACATACACATATCACGATATCCCCCCCAAAGGTATGCGATTAAAGGCATTACAACGACTGAAGAGCAACGATTTTGCGATTTTTTTGTATATAATAAACATAATCTGACGTACGTCAACAACGGTACGCACGTTTCTATTTTATATAATATTATTATTATATATATATACACATATATAATCGTATTTCGTACGCTATCGAGACGATAAGGTCGCGGAGGCGTCCGAGGGCGGAGACACCGAAAACAAAAAAACGCGTAATCGATACGGATAAACGATTTATCGTATCGTAAAAAAAAAAAACAGTATTGACGATACGACGACCGACCGGAGAACATACAGGCGGATTATCATACCTCCTGACGTCGAAGGCCTTGTGCTATTTAGTACGCAAAAAAGTTTAAGTCGAATCGAGCGCTGATTTCTCAAGCGATCATCATTGAAAATCCATTTAAACTCGTTTGAACCACCCAGGTAGGCGATCCGACGCAGTAATAATAAAAAAAAAAAAAATAAATATCGGACGATGTGGGCGTAAAGGAGAGATGTTAAACGTATTATGGAAAACGCATGTCAAACGTTGGCAAGTTGAAGATCAAAAAACTATACATAATTAATATTTTTTTTTGATATTTTATAGATGGTTAGATATCGAAAAGAAATATTATGCACTTTCTGTGATGACAAAATATTTATAAAAAAAAAAAAAATGTACTACTGTTTTTCCCCGGTATATTTCAAATGTAAACAACTGAAAGGCTAAACATATAAAATAGTGAATTCACCGTCAAAACTGAGTGAAACAACTGTATCATCATCAATAGAACGTTCTCAGGCTATAATATAAACTGCATATCACATATGTACATTTGAATCGTGCAGACTGTTAGCAATAACTATAATTGGTTTAATCGAATACTATTGTGTGATTTAATGTCCGTGTAAAGTATATAAATATAATATATTTTGACATCATCAATCGAGCAATATAAAATCAAACGTGTGAGATCAAAAATCATTTTTAATATTTGAAAAATATTTTACGAGTAGTAGTGTAAGACAGG